TACTACAAAATTGGGAAATCAATCTATCTCTTTAGCTATAGGAGAATCAATTAAGTAATGTTACTACTATTTTCCCTTCTTTTAGGTTGTGTTAGCCCGTGGCTGTTTTGATGACACCAAGGTTGATCCATGAACCTCTCTTATGGTATCAACATCAGTTGATCCTTGTAGCCATGTGTTTCTAAATGGAGAATGGAATTTTTGGGGTATATGATGATTCAGGGTGCCGTGCTAATACAAAACTTGGCTGCGGAAGAACCTTTGGCGCTTGGTTTAGACACTTACTATAAGCAGCATTATCTCTCATTGGCTGCTGCTGCAGCTACAATCAAATGGTGTCTACATCCTGAAACTTTTTTGCTTTATGTGCAATATCTGTTTGGTGGTTTTTGAAATGCTGAGTTTTGTTTTCTGTCATGAGCAGGATTGAGGCGGAGAAGGGTGTGATAGTCACCAATCACTCACTGACTGTATGCGTTTTTTTTTTTTTTTTTAAATAACAATTCTCAGTTACCTGATAAGAAACTTTACTGATGTGATTTGTATTTCTAGGTAACTTTTAATGGTTCGTTTGATCACATGAATATCGATGCAACTAGGTATGGTTACCTTTATATTACTTCATGTTTCTAGTCTATTGAGTTATAGAGAATTTTAGCATCAGAACTATATAATCGTTACGTTTCATTGTTTCCTTGATTTGATGACAGTGTTGAGAATCTGGAAATCATTGATCCCTTCCATAATGCTCTTTTGGGCACTAGCAATAAGAAGAGGAGTCTGTTCCAGATGTTCAAGACAACCAAAACAGTTGGCGGGTATCTGGAAACACTTTTTCTTTTAAGAGTTGAAATTACTGATAGAGACCTCTTTGTTCTTTGTGTATATTAGTTTGGCATTTCAGCCTTCTATTTGCAATCATCATAGTAATGTTCTTCAATTATTTTCATTTTCTAATATGTTGGTCAGGACTAGGCTTCTCCGTGCCAATTTGTTGCAGCCCCTGAAAGATATTGAAACTATTAACACACGCCTCGACTGCCTGGTTAGTATAGCTATGATTTGGGTTGTCATATTTCATAAGGGACTTCTTGAGACATGTCATTCAATTTCCGTTTTGTGATACATATGTGGATTTACAGAGTTTGATCATTTTGCAGCTACCGGAAACTTTCCATTGTATGATGATGCATTAATCATAAAGCAAAAGTCCTCTTCTTTGTAATTGCAGGATGAGTTGATGAGCAATGAACAACTATTCTTTGGGCTTTCACAGGTTTTACGTAAATTTCCAAAAGAGACTGGTAAGTAATTAAGAGAAGAAGTGATGGGATCCTGAACTTTTCTCGTTGCATTCATTATATTGAGCTTGGTTCCTCTCTATATCACATAAAGTCAAGAGATTTCTGACCATCTTCCACAACTTTTAGATCGAGTGCTTTGTCATTTCTGCTTCAAGCCAAAGAAAGTCACAGAAGCGGTCCTAGGTTTTGATAATACCAGAAGGAGCCAAAACATGATTTCAAGCATTATCTTACTCAAGACTGCACTGGATGCTTTGCCTTTGCTTGCTAAGGTGTTGTTCTTTCTCATATTGTTATCAGTTTTTTTGCTTGATTTGGCAACTATGTCTATGGCCTACCCCTAATCTTAGTTGTGCCCTGTCCCATGTAAAAATGCAGGTTTTAAAGGACGCAAAGTGTTTTCTCCTTGCCAATGTTTACAAGTCCGTATGTGAAAATGATCGATATGCGTCCATCAGAAAAAAGTATGGCATTAGTCGGACTGGCTAGTAGATATTAACTATGAACTTCGTTGCTGGAAGTCTTTTTCATTTCCTGCTAGAGGGAGGTTTCTAAAAGTTAGAGTTTCAAGATAAATAGAGTCTTTATCCTGTTTTTGTTTCAGAATCGGGGAAGTTATTGATGATGACGTTCTCCATGCACGAGTTCCCTTCGTTGCCCGCACACAGCAGTGTTTTGCTTTAAAAGCTGGCATCGATGGGTTTTTAGATATTGCAAGGAGAACCTTCTGTGACACTAGTGAAGGTGAACCAACAATATGCTTCCCTTTGTATTATCATTGATTTCCCCTTTTACAAATCTGTTCAGCTAATCCGAAATCTTGTAAAAAATGACAGCAATACATACTCTGGCCAGTAAGTATCGTGAGGAATTCAACTTGCCAAATCTTAAACTCCCTTTCAACAACAGGCAAGGCTTCTTTTTCAGAATTCCACAGAAGGAAGTTCAGGGAAAACTTCCAAGCAAATTCACTCAGGTCAAAATCGCACTTCCATTGGAAACTTAAATGTTCTATCTATATATATATATGGTTTTCCTGACTTTAGTTTCTCTTGTACGTCCAGGTTGTAAAACATGGGAAAAACATACATTTTTCGAGTCTGGAACTGGCTTCTGTAAGTTGAATAATAACAATTTCTAATACCTTGTTTCCTAGTGTGATTCTGTTACAGCTACATACAAATGATATTAGATGAACAAAACTCCACTCCCAAGGTTTTAATCTAGCGGAGACTTGAAATTTAAAACACCATGATATGAGAAGAATGAGCCCTCAAATCTAGAAGTAGGAGCTACGTTCATGATTCAGGAACCTAGACACAATGTTTCAATAATATCAACCGTACATTGATCTATTGTGCATTGATCTATTGTGCAGTTGAATGTCAGGAATAAGTCTGCGGCTGGTGAGTGTTACATTCGAACAGAAACGTGCCTAGAAGGTTCGTAACTGCACATTTCTTGCAAAAATATGTATTAACGCGAATTATTATAGTGTTATCAGGCTTGGTTCGTTTATGGCTATTACATGAAACGGTTTCTGTATGTATGCAGCACTAATGGATGCTATAAGGGAAGATGTCTCTGCCCTCACACTGCTAGCAGAAGTCTTATGTCTCCTAGATATGATTGTCAATTCATTTGCTCATACAATATCCACAAAGCCAGTTGATCGATACTCTAGACCTGAACTAACAGGTAGCTGACTCTCACACTACCTTTCCTCAAATACCTACCGTTGTATCCTCACATATTCCTTTATCTAGATAATTCTTGAACAGTTAAACTGAAGCATATAAGAAAAATGGAAATAGCGTGTGCGATAATTGACTGCACCTTAACTGAAGCATATATATATATATTGTTTGGCAGATAGTGGCCCACTGGCAATTGATGCTGGAAGGCATCCCATCCTAGAAAGCATCCACAACGACTTTGTTGTAAGTTGTTTGTGCCATTTCTCATGATACTACCATCCCTCAATTTATCCTTAGAAATCATCTTGGTGCCAAAACATGAAGAAAAGTATCTGATATTCCTTTTTTCACTTTCTTCACCAGCTTACTTGTATCCCCTGTTATCATTTCGGGCTCTGTGCACGCTTGGTTAACCCACACAATTTTCTCTTTTTGCAGCCGAATAGTATCTTCATGTCAGAAGCAACCAACATGTTGGTAGTTATGGGTCCAAACATGTAAGGGAACACTTGCTGCTCTGCCACTCTCAATATCTGGTCAATTGTCCAAGAAAAACCATCATCGACTCATGCTTGTATTTGCATTCCATATCACAAGGAGCGGAAAGAGCACATATCTCCAACAGGTGTGTCTAGTAGTCATTCTGGCTCAGATTGGCTGCTATGTCCCAGCTCGCTTCGCAACTATAAGAGTGGTTGACCGCATTTTCACGAGAATGGGCACAATGGATAATCTTGAGTCAAACTCAAGCACGGTAATCCTTTAAGCCTCTCGCATAGACATTGTCCCATATTGGTAGTAGAGCCTGTTGATATCATCCCTTAAATTTCAATGTCACAGTTTATGACAGAGATGAGAGAGACAGCTTTCATAATGCAGAATGTCACCAACAGGTACCCTTTTGTGAAAGCACTGATACAAACGAACCTCCCCACTCAGTTTCATATATTGTTAACGCCTCCAACATTGTAGGAGTTTGATAGTTATGGATGAGCTCGGGAGGGCGACTTCTTCCTCAGACGGGTTAGCAATGGCATGGAGCTGCTGCGAGTATCTCTTGTCACTCAAAGCGTAAGCTTTTTAACTGAGTTTCTTTTCCCCCGCCTAAACATACTTAATAAGAAGTAAATGCAAATGTGCATTTCGATTGTGGCTATAAACTCTCAGGTACACAGTATTCGCAACCCATATGGACAGTCTTGCAGAGTTAGCAACCATCTACCCTAATGTCAAGGTTCTTCACTTTTACGTAGACATCAGAGACAACCGCTTAGACTTCAAGGTTGTGTCTGCGTTCGTTTAGTATTATTGGTTCCAGGTTTTAGCTACCAACTGCTGCTGAATTTTACATTTTCTCATCAGTTTCAACTTCGAGATGGAACCCTACATGTTCCTCACTACGGCCTTCTGTTAGCCCAAGTGGCTGGTCTGCCTATTACAGTGATCGAAACAGCTAGGACCATAACCTCAAGGATCACCGACAAGGTCTTACTCAAAACTTACTAAATAAAAAAATTCAGCAAAATGTTTCATTCATACAGTACAAGGTCTTCCAGTTATCGTGTTCATAATTAAAAGTTCTGCAGGAAATGAGAAGAATAGAGCTAAACTGCGGGAAGCACCATGAAATGCATCGGATCTATCGTGTCGCTCAGAAATTGATATGCCTAAAGTACTCTAAACAGACGGAGGACTCGATTCGCCAAGCTCTTCAAAATCTCAAAGACAGCTTCATCGAAGGAAGGCTCTAAACAGAAGCTTTTTACAAGTACTAATACTCAATTTTTTTATAGAATTGCGTCTCCGAATTTTATGGTACGAACTAATCACCAAAAATCGAAAGTAAATAGCAAAAGCGAAATCAAAATCAACTAAGAAGCTTTAATTTCTGGTCAGGTTCAAAACTTGAAAACAAACACTTGAATCCCATTGTATTCCGAAACGAAAATCCACAAAGAAGGATATACCAGTCGAGAAAAACAAGAAATAAAAGAGTTGATCAACGGTAACGACGGAGAGAGAGAGTGTTGTTGCTCTTCCAGGTAGCCCTGCGAGAAGGTCTGTTCTTGTGGTTGCGGTGACCCTTTCCACGAAGACCACGATTCTTCTTTCCTTCGGAGGTGAGTCCTCTGAGCTCTCTGTGCTTGTGCACTGGGTTGCAGATCCAGTTGATCCTTGGATCATTTCGGACGGCATTGTGTGCAGGGTCCACAAGGATAATCTCGTAGTACTTGTAGGTAGAATCCTAAGCAAAACAAATCAAATTCCACCATTAATCAACCAAACTCTAATCATCATTTCAGATATCTACCAGAATTTCTACCAATGAAAATATCCTCAATGTCACAGTGAAAATGGTAGCAGCAAATTCGGGTGTGGTGCATACCTCGTTGAGCCAGTAGGAGTTGACGACCCTAAGGCCACCCAACTTGCGACCAGCACGCTCCTCAGCAACAGATCTCTTACTGCGCTGGAATTTGAGCTGCGTCACTCCCTGGTTAGTGGGCTTACCATAGACAATACCCTTGGAAACAGGCCTCTTTCGACCACCACGTCTCACACGGACACGGTACACAACAAACCCCTGTACCAAACAACCACAATAGATCAGCATCACAGGATCAGTGATTGAAAACACGCAAGCAAAATATAACATTTAAACTCCGGGTTCAAAAAAACATAAAAATGTATCAATCTTAGACAAGAACAGATTCCACAGTAGATAAAGAGCTGTTCAGTCAGAAGATTGAATTTGATGTAGCTGGTTTCAGGAAGTATTCTATCATGTTGACGCAGACATATGGCCTACGCGTCAAGACACCGCTTGACCAGCAGTTTATCATTACCTAAAGCTACTAACAACGGTAAGAGAAGATGAAGAAGAAGAACAAGAACCTGCTTGGCCTTGTAGCCGAGACGACGGGCTTTGTCGGGACGTGTGGGACGAACAAGACGAACAATGGAAGGCTGCTGGCGATACTCCCAGCACCTAACCCTCTGGAGAAACCTCATCACATCCGACTGCTTCTTCCTCCATAGCTCCGACACGTACTTGTACGCACCTGTCGCCCAAAAATCACATTTCTTTCTCAATTATTCACTCACACAAACACAGATATCGACCAAAATCACATCAACATAACATAAACCCATCAAAGAGAGATGGAGAGAGTAGAGAGATCGACATACCCATTTCGATCTTCCGGCGTCGCGGTCACTTTTTTCTTCCTATTAGGTTTCTGCTTTTTAAATAGATAATCCACAGGGGAGCTAGGGTTTCACTCGCTGTGAGAGAACCCCTTCGGTCTGGCCCATTTAGCTTCGTTACTGGGCCTTATTGGCGCAACCATAGTTTGGTAATGGCCCACTAACCCCTTCGGTTTCCCTCTTTTTTCTCTGATTCCCTTAGTCATAAACCGGATTACGTGATCTTTAAATAGAAGAAGATGATTAATGACTAAACCGTAACGTCTTCCACTATATAAAAAAAAAGACAAAAAATTTACCATAAGAGAGAATTAGGGGAAATCTCTTTGTACACAATATCTCTGCACAAACCCTAGAGAGTTCGTGCGATCCCCATCGGTTTCTCCTCGATAGATCGTCCAAGAATCGTTGGCTCCGGTGCTTGGAGTTTGAGGATTGAAGCAGCTCGTTCGATTGTTTGTGTACGCGGTGAAGATCCTTCCGGAGATTTGGAGACATCTTTAGTGCAGCTGAGCTTCGTCCCTGCCCAATTACCCTCGATTCGATTCGATTCGATTCAACGCGGGCTTTCTCTTTCTCGTCCGTGAGCTTGTGGGAAATTCTCCGATCTGAAAAGTGGATGCGCGTTTGAGGTTTCGTCTGTCGAATTTTGGTCAAGTCTAAATCAGAGAAAGTAAAGAACCATACGAGTTTTTCTCTTGTAGTTAGTTACTTTTTTGTTCTCGGAAATCAATTTCTGGCCTTTCCCTTTTTTTTTTTACATATACGGAAGGGCCTGGATTTGGTTTTCGGAAAAACAGTAGATTTCTTGTGTTTTTGTTTGATAATCTGTCTAATTAAAATTAGTAATACATATTGTATTTATTCATTATCAGATAAATCCAATGGCAATTTATTACAAGTTTAAGAGTGCGAGGGATTATGATACCATCTCCATGGATGGACCTTTTATAACAGTTGGTTTACTCAAAGATAAAATTTACGAAACAAAGCATTTGGGCAGTGGTAAAGACCTTGACATTGTCATCTCTAATGCCCAAACTAACCAAGGTTTGTCTTCCTCCTTCTTAATCCCATAGTAGATTTGAGTGTGCTCTATTGTTTAGTAAAAGGACTTGCTTTTATTAGTTTATAATCATAAAAATTGAAATGCTTGAATCAAGTTTTGGTATGCTGTAATTTCCTTGAGTTGAATATGATTAGTTCTGAGGTTAGCCTGTTGTTGATTGGTTATGGTACTTGTGTGAATCATGAGAAAGAGTCATGCGGAATTTGCTTCTTGTTTATGATGTTTATTCCGCCTATATAGATGCAATCAATCTGTGGCCTTTAACATGTTTTTCTTTTCTGCAATTTTCAGAATATCTGGATGACGCACACTTAATCCCAAAGAACACCTCTGTCCTCATTCGCCGTGTCCCCGGACGCCCTCGCATCAGAATTATTACCCCTCAAGAGTATTTCTCAAAGATCCATACTTTTGATCTATAACTTCTTGTAACTTTGTTCAGTCTTTGTGATCTTATTTGATGTAAAAATCTACGTCTTGCAGGCCGAGAGTCGTCGAGGAAAGAGTGGAAAACGTTCAAGCTTACATGAACAACAATCCTATAACTGCTGATGCATCTGTGGTGAGTTGTTTACAGCAACCTTGTCTCGGTTTCTGTTGGTAATTGATTGAGTTCTGACTATCCAAGTTGTAACTCACACCTTGTTATTCGTTGTAGGCTGAAGAAGATGAGTTTGGGACTGATCTGTATTCACTTCCTGATGCCCCAGCTGTCCAATATAGTAACCCTTCTCTTGATCCTGCACCAGCCAATGAGGAAGTAGATGAAGAAACCAAACTGAAGGCGTTGATTGACACTCCAGCATTAGACTGGCAGCAGTAAGTAGTAATTTTGCTAAACTGATGAGCACTGGCATATGAATTAGAACTTGACCATACACTTATGTATGTGTAACCTTGTTATTTTTCTCGTTTATATTACAGACAAGGTGCAGATGGTTATGGCGCAGGCAGAGGTTATGGGAGGGGTACGGCTGGAAGGATGGGTGGACGCGGTTTTGGTAAATAATATTTCATCAATTATTACTCAAAACTTTCTGTTTAGACTTTCAGTAACATGTAAGATGCTGAGACTGAGTTTATCTGGTTAGGTATGGAGAGGAAAACGCCACCACCAGGTTATGTCTGCCATCGTTGCAATACTGCAGGTATGTGAGATTATGGTTTTGATATTGTGTCACGTCCCTTGGAAAGAAGCGTGTTCTAAGCATCTGTTTTTCTGACTCAGGACATTTGATTCAGCACTGCCCGACAAATGGCGATCCTAACTACAATGTAAAGAGACCTAAACCACCCACTGGCATCCCCAAGTCTATGTTGATGCCGACCCCAGATGGCTCTTTAGCCATGGCAGATGGCGCAGTTGCAGCTTTGCAACCGAATGAGTACGTCGTCGCTAAATTTAACATGTTGTCATTATGCTACTTTCTCACGTAAATTAGTCTGAATGATCTGTGTCTGTTTAACAATGTTCAGGGATGCTTTTGAGAAGGCAATGGAGGGACTGCCGTCAACAACACGTTCTGTCGGGGAAATTCCTCCTGAGCTAAAATGTCCCTTGTGTAAAGAAGTAATGAGAGATGCTGCGCTGACGAGCAAATGCTGTTTCAAGAGCTTTTGTGACAAGTGTAAGCTCTCTTGTCAAATCTGCCAATACATCTGCAAAAGCCTTTCTTTTTTTTCTTCAATCATTTCCAGTTACAGTTACAGATGCTGTCTTTTTGACTTGCATACTCTCTACAATGTAGGTATCAGAGATCACATAATTGCAAAGTCAATGTGTGTCTGTGGAGCAACCAATGCACGAGCTGATGATCTTTTACCAAACAAGACGCTTAGGGATACAATAAACCGTATCTTGGAGTCTGGTAACAGTAGCGCTGAGAACGCTGGCAGCATGTGTCAAGCGCAGGGTATGTCAATCGCTCGCTCGTAGTCTGTTTGTTATCTTTGTGTTGTGTACCATCATTGATTTAACTAATTAATTCTAGATATGGAGTCTGCTCGTTGTCCACCTCCCAAAGCTCTGTCTCCTACTACATCTGCAGCATCTATAGGCGAAAAGAAACCAGCTCCTAGTAACAACAATGAGACTTCAACTCTAAAGCCGGCAGTAGAAGTAGCGGAGATCACAAGTGGCCCTATGGCGTCTGCAGAAATTGTAAAACCTGTTGATGCATCTGAGAACAATCGAGGATCCTTGAATGGCAAGGAAGCACAGGTGAATACGCAGGCCCCCAAGGAAGAAATACCCCAGCAGGTTGCTTCTGGTGAGCAAGGTAATCACTGGCTATTGTCCCATTGGCAAGAGAAAGCTTTCAATTTATGATATATGAATATCTTTGGTAAAGTAATGCTAATTTTTGCTCTTGTGACCAGTTAAAAAGAAGAAGAAGAAACCTCGGATGCCTGGAACAGGTAGCTTGTGTTTCCTTGTATGCTCTTTCTCTTTCTTCTTATAGTCAGTCAATGGTTAACAGATGATTTTTGTGTGTGATCCCAGTGGCAGACATGCAATGGAATCCCATGCAAGCAGGGCCTGAGTACATGATGCCTATGGGTCCAGGTCCGAGTAATCCTTACTTCAACGGTATGCAAGGCGGGTTCCAACCCGGGTTCAACGGCTTTCACCATGGTTTCAATGGGTTTGGAGGCCCTTATCCCGGCGCCATGCCTCCCATGTATGGACTTGGAGGCCCCATGGACATGTCTTTTCACGGCGTGATGCATCCACCGCCTTTTGCTCCACAGGGCTTTGGTTTCCCTAATATACCACCACCTCATAGGTACTCTCACTCTCACTCTCACTCACCACTTGATAAATGGTGTTGTAATACATTATCTTCATGAGCAAAGAGTGTAATTGACAAATGGACATATGAGCAGGGACCTTGCGGAGATGGGAAACCGTATGAATCTCCAACGTCCTCTCATGGGGAGAGAGGAATTTGAAGCTCGGAAAGTCGAGATGATGAGAAAGCGTGAAAACGAGAGGTATTTATCAGCACTGTGCCCTCATTTGAGGCTTACTCAGTCTGCTTGTTGCAGCATAATGTTAAACTAAGTTGCTTTGTTATTGTGTGTTGCAGAGGGAATGCCGGTGAGAAGAGCAGAATGATGAACAACTCTGCCGCAGCCTCTTCCTCACCAATGAAGCCAAAATCTGTATGTATCTCATCTTCCTTCTTTATTCATCTTCAAGTGCAAGTCTTTTACGCTTATCAAAATAAAGGTTTTAAATTTCCTTGTTTATTTTGGTCAATGAACAGAGACCATCTCCACCGAATCCGGATTACGACCGTCGCAGGCGATCGGAGAGATTATCACCGGAGCCTCGTCAGAGGTTCAACTCTCCCCCTCGAGTATCCAGCAGGAAATCCGAGCGTGATCATCGTCACCAAGACCATGATTCAGAGCATGATCGCCGTCGCGACCGCCGGGATGATGATAGGAGACGGGAACGCCACCGGGAGGAAGATCGCAAGCACAGCAAGAGATCGGAGAAGCAACCGTCAGTGCCGAGTGCAGCTGCTACCAAATCAGAGATTGAGGATGACCACAAGGCCAGCGTTTTTGCTCGGATAAGCTTTAACGTGCCGGAATCTTCTTCCGGCAAACAACGGAAGACGTCAAAGTCTTCTCCGGCGCCGGAGGCCGCGACACAGGCCGTTTCGATTGCGGAGGAACTTAGGGCATTGGTAAATTCAGAATTTGAGATTTTTTTCCGTTTCTGTGATGAAGGTATTCTCGGGACACGAAGAGCTGCTCAAGAGTGAGCTATGCGATGTGATTGTGGTGTCATCTCCAAATATGACTCATCATCAGATTCTAATTGACATAATCAATTATCCAAAACCGCACCATGTTCTTGTTGAGAAGCCCTTATGCACCACAGTTGCAGACTGCAAACAGGTTCTGGAGACTGCAAAGAAAAGGTCAGACATGGTGGTGCAAGTTGGGTTAGAGTACAGATACATGCCACCAGTGGCTAAGCTCATTGAGAAAGTGAAAAGCAGAGATTTTGGCAATGTCAAGATGGTAGCAATCCGAGAACATAGATTCCCTTTCTTGGTTAAGGTAGGCTCAAACAAGATGTTTTCAACGCATCCGGTTTATATAAATTACTGATTGGGACACATGACTAGGTGAACAACTGGAATAGGTTCAATGTGAACACTGGAGGGACCTTAGTGGAGAAATGCTGCCACTTCTTTGATCTAATGAGGCTCTTTGCTGGTGCAAATCCTCTATGTGTGATGGCTTCTGGAGGCATGGATGTGAACCACAAGGATGAAGTTTATGATGGCAAGGTACATTTTACAAAACCCGAATCATTACCCAATTCAATGTATATTCCGAGTTTCATACTGATATGTTTCGCTGTGTCATAGGTGCCTGATATAATTGATAACGCTTATGTGATAATCGAGTTTGACAATGGATGTCGTGGGATGCTTGATCTTTGTATGTTTGCTGAAGGAAGCAAAAACGAACAAGAAATCTCTGTTACTGGTGACATTGGAAAGGTAAACTCCCTTTGAAATTCTATGGGATCCTTGTGATAGGGAATATAGAGGCCAAATAAGAATAGAGGCAGAGGAAACGAGCAAAAAGTGTTACTCGAAACATTTATTTGGAGTTGTTCATATATGGATTCATGGATTTTTGACTTTTCAGGGGGAGGCACTTGTTCCAGAGGGCATAGTTCGATTTGGAAGTCGTGCACAAGGAAGAGAACACGTTCAGACGATAAAAGCTGAGGATGAAAGAATAAAGTAAAAATCTTTTCATCTACATATCGTCTTCTTGCATTCTTCCACTGTATTTATATAGTCTCACATCCGATCACAATCACATGGTGTTTGGTTATTCAGATATGAAGGTTTACATCACGGATCGAGTTACTTGGAACACCTCATATTCTTATCAGCAATCAGAGGTGAAAGACGAGCAGCTGTTGATTTGGAAGACGGATTAATGGCTGTTGCCATTGGAGTTGCTGCACAGCTCTCCATTCAAGAGCGCCGCTATGTATCTATTGAAGAGGTCTTGTGACTTGTCATAACAAGACCTATTTGTGTAAATTTGGTATTGTTGGTGTTGATATGTTTGTTGTAAAAATAAGCCAAGACTGAATCTTTTTGTTTGTTCTTTGTGTTTAAGCTTCAATTAGTATAAGTTTGTACTGCTTTATACTTGGCTATGTAGTTATAGTAGACATTGCTTGGCTGTAAAATTTTAAATAAATCGTAAAGTATAGAATGATAAACCCAGGACCTAATATATTAAAGCTCTCTCTTAATTACCTATCACTTTATATGAACTATTAGTTGAATCTCTTTAGATTAAGGGGGGTTATTGGGAGTAGAATTTGTGATGATTGTTAAAATTTTCAAAATCCGTTGTTATTGATTTGATGACTTTCAAAATCCATACAAAATCCATTGTTATCCAAAAAGTTTGCAATTTTAATGATTCCATGAATTGTTAAAATCTTTGTTATTGGTAACTATAGTTAAATGTTAGCATAACAAAGAGAAAGAGAGTGCACAAAAAGTGCAAAACTTTTCAGTTGGGCCGGGCATGACTGGTGATGGTGACAGTATATGCTCAGAACAACAATTGATTTCAATTTGTTGTTATTTCAATTTCAGTTTTGTATATGTTGTTATTTCAAATTTTCTCTCATGATTTATATTTTGTTGTTTGGAAGCCATCGGTTACAATCGATTCAACTAGAGATTTCGCAACTTAAGGAATTGGGCTACATTATATATCTTCTGCATCCTGAGCGCTTTGCAAAAAAACTATTGAAATCTGTGCATTATCACTGCACAAGGTTGATTGCGTTTGGTCAGAGTTCGATTGGTTTTGGGACTGAGAAATATCCCTTGATTCGAACTCTTGTTCCCATAAAACAACCATGGGATACAAGAGCTATTGATCTTCCTGCCCCTTCAAAGAGGAGTTTGTCGAAGCCAAAGGATCTTCCTGCCCGTTCAGAGAAGAGTTTGTCGAAGCCAAAGGGTGGTGGGAAGAACAAACTAGTTTGGAGTCCAATAATTATAAGTAATGAATCGTCCTCCGAGCATCTTCGAGTCCCGCCAAAGGATACTAGTGTGTGTGGTGAGAGAAACAAGAGTAACAAGTATCATGTTGGGAAGGTCGGACAAGTTTGGGTTTGTGATTAGAAAATTCATCAGGTTTAGGGAGTCTACCATCTCAGTTCGTCATTTCTATCCTTATCTTCACATACTTTCAACAAAAGGTGAATCTCTGGTGTTACGCCATTCCACTATCCGACATTTTGATCTCTAGCATTTGGTTAAACAGTGTAACCAAAAACATGGAAATGCCACATTTGTCAACACTGTACTATACATGAGAAGTTAGAAGGATGCCTTAAGGAGTATGTAAGGATGAGGACTCAGGGTCACCGTGTCGCTGGAAAGCAGAAACCCCCAAGAAGAAGAAATAACTTGTTTGATCTCTTTTATGATGTGTTGCAGGTTGGGGATGGAGAAGTCATACGGAACGATCTCATTTGTTTGTAATCTTTTTTGTCCTCGTTAGAACTACCTTGTCTTTTCAGTTTATGCATTTCTCCTTTTTATGTGTGGCTCCATTGTTGTCGCATGCATGGTTGTTTCCTTAGATTTTGTTTAAATCTGTCATGGTTCCACTTTTGTCTGATAATAATAGCTCTTGCATGGGTCATGGAATCTTATGTATCAATTCAATGTTATCCAAGCTCTTCGAAAGAATTGCCAATTTGCTACAAACGACGGAACCGGTTGCCAATTTGCCACTTTTGAAATAAATAATTACTGTATCATTGATTTTTTTTTTTAATTGAAAAAGAAGTACAACTGTGTGTGCTCTTTAAAAATCGGGAAAATGTCATAAAAATCCTGAACTTTCAAATTGTGACCAAAGAAAGTGTGAACTCTTGAAAATTCATAATAAACCTCAACTTTTGTTGACTTTAATATTAAATCATAAACTTTTGTTGACTGAGCCAAAATACACATAGCATGATTTGACTGGAGGATTTATTATTGTTTAGCCCTCTTAAACTCTATTAAACTAAAATATTTTCTCCTAAATTCCCTAATCAACTTCACAAACTCTAAAATTCCAAATCAACTTCATAAACTCTAAAATCCCAAATCGGCTTTGCCTTTTCCTCTTTCGGTTTTTGTGAGCAAAATTCTCATATTGGTTTCACGAACTCTAGAAATCGATTTTGCATCTTTTAATTTCTCTCTCAACCAAATATAAATCATCATCATAATCATTCTTCGAGACAAGATGCTCAACTTTAGTCTTCATACAGTATGTAAAATTAATTGAAATTTTAGGGTTTGTAAAGTCAAATTTTTGAATTTAGGTGAAAATAAAACAATGTCGTATTAGTTTAATCAAGTTTAAGATGAGACAATCAACAGTATTAAATCGTATTGTCAAATCAAAGTGTGCCTATTTTGGCTGAGTCAACAAAAGTATGGTTAAATATAAAAGTCAACAAAATGTTGGGATTTATTATGACTTGTTAAGAATTTATGCTTTCTTTGGCCACTATTTGAAAGTTCAGGATTTTTATGGCATTTTCCCTTTTAAAATCTTCTTATTTACCTATCCAACCAACCTTTATCCACAGGAACCGACATCCATTTGAATTTAGGTAAAAACTTAAAATAGCAAATTACGGTAAAATCTCTATAAAATAATAATATTGGGACTTTGAAAATTTATTATTTATAGAGTTATTACTTTATGAATAAATTCAATATTTCTTAATTTATAAACATATATATATATATATATTTTTTTTTGGTGAAGAACATATTTTCTTTTAATTCATAATCTTCGAAAGTTATTCTCCATATAATAATGTATTAAGTATTTAAAATAATTTAATTGCTAATATGACATACATAAACTTGAAATTATGATAAAGTATTTTGAATACAGTAACAAAACATAAATTATTAGCTTATATAAATATTTATACATGATAAAAATTAAAAGGTTTGGAAAATTTATAGCTACTAAGGAAGTTGAAAATAATGTGTTTAGAACATATGTAACAATTTTACATGTATAAAAAATTGCATTATGAGTTTTTAATATAATAAAAAGTTAGAGATAAATTTAAATTCAAAGTTTAATATTTTCTTAGGCATATACAATGTATAGTTTTATAGAATTATTACTTTAACTTATATTTGGGACCATATTTTACATAGGAATTTCAAAAATATTATTATCTTATTATCTTATCGCAATTTGCTTATTTTTACACTAACCCGAGTTAGGATCGGAGAAATTTATTATCTTATACTCCCTCTGAAACAACCAACATTTTTTTTTTAATAAATTAAATAACAATTCAGCGGAAGTCTTTAAATAAATAAATAATAAATCAGGTTCAACAAATAAATTCAAATAAATAATTAAAGAAATACTAGCAACCTAAACACCAGTACTAGCAAGTCAAACAATGCAAAATAATAAAACATAAACATCCTATCATCCCCCTCTTCAGCCTTGATTCCGCGATCACACAAATCTTTTACCTGCAACACATTGGAATGGAGTTGCGTAAGTATTTAATAAATACTTAGTGAGGCAATCACTCTGCCTACAGGCCATTTACGCAATTTACTAGACATTTAAATAATTATTATTAAATTCCATTTTCCAATTATTAAATAATTTTTAATAATTAAAACTTCAATTTCTCAATTATTAAATAATTCTCATAATTAAATAATAATTTTCCATATTTTAAAATAATTAAAATAATTATTTTAAGCCATTTAATTAATTAAAATACTCATTAATTAATTAAATACGAATTTAACCAAATAACCAGATAACCAGATTAACCAATTAAATTAAATCAATTTAAACCAATTTTAATTTCAATTGAACCGGACCAACCGGTCAGTGTCGAGCGACACCAGCCACTTGTGTCGACCGACACTAGTTCCAGATGCCGATTCTTCCTTCAATAAAACAGCACGAAAATCACATAAAACACCAAATCCACACGAATTACACCCAAACAACACTAGATAACACATAATCAACATGAACAACTCAAGAACAATCAACAATCAAACCAAATCTAGCAATTGCGGACCTACAGTCATGCACTCACCTTGATTTGGCTAGAAACAGGGAAAGGAGATGAACACAACGAAGAACAGCAACAAGGAGCCTCAGATTCACGAAGAAACTCCACCAAATCGCCTCTAGAGCTTCTCCTCTCACGCAAAACGACAAAAGATCTTCCCTTGACGGCTGCACGTTTTTATTTCGAGTTCTAGGGCTTTCTGGGCCCAAACCGGGCTAAACCGAACTTAAATTGAAAATTGCAAACCAGAGCTGGTGTCAGACCGACACTCACCACTTGTGTCGGTCGACATTCGATCAAAACTGCACATTTTTGGTTTACGGATGTTACACCCTCCGTTTCAAGTTAGTGTAATTGTCTTTTTGGGAAAACGTATATGCAATTATCTGGATGTATTAAACTCAAAACACATCCATATACATTCAAATAATTATATATACAATTTGCCAAAACGACAACTAATTTGAAACGGAGAGAGTAGTGATTATTACTTTATCGAGTATTACTTTATAGAGGTTCTACTATATATACAGAAAAAAAAGAATTCCTTTCTCCTTTTTCTTTGGGCGACGAAACCCGACGGCCGACGAGTGTGACCTTTTGTAAATCCTGATTTCGGCCTCAGGTGGTGATGGTACTGGATCGACGGCTATGTCAGGAGCAAGAGGAGCTTAAGATCTGGAAAAAATAGAGGAACAATGATGAATTAGTTAGATAACAGCAGCGATGTTTCAAAGCTGCTGTTATCTATGATGTGAGTAAGTTAGAAAAAACATTGTTGATTGTTTTATAGTTTAAGTCAACGATGTAGAAGATATAAAATCATTTAGAGTAAAACAGGTTCATCATTAGGAATATCCAAAGATTGATGTTCTCTTAGATGTTAATTATTGTTTCTATCCAAATCTTTTGTAGATAGTTTAAGTAATAGTCTGGTCAAGATCGATTCATAAGGATGACCCCTAATACATCAGTCGCATTTGGTGAAGCAGTTACATGTAAGTACTTTCTCAAAGTTTATCTCCATTTGCTTGGGATTTCTCTTCTCTCTAGAACTAGAAAATACTGTACTTATATTTGATGCATTACTTCGTCTGTGGACAAAAAGTTCATTGTTTGCATCGATATTTCCTTTTTCGGGAAACTTGAAATAGAAAACATAAGGAAGAAGAAGAAGAAGTTGAATTCTCAGAACATCTCTAATGTTTGCATAACTGAATGATCACTGTTTTGGTGATCATTATTTCTTGAATATTTGTCCCACTTATATTTTCTTGGATCGTCTTTTTTTTTGTATATGTGAACGTTTCTGTTTGAAGTCTTTGTGCATATGTATGTGTTTAGTTTGGACTGGAACAAATGCCAAAAAAGAATCATGTTATTGGATATTAGATCTTTGGTATTGGGCTTTTATTTACAATTATATTGTTTGGTGTATAACAAGGAACAATGTACAGTAAAACTTCTATAAAGTAATAATGTTGGGACTTTGAAAATTTATTATCTTATATAGATATTACTTTACGAATATATTCAATATTTGATAATTTATATATATATATATATATATTTTTTAATTCATAATCTTCAAAAATGATTCTTCATATGACAATGTACTAAGAATTTAAAATAATTTATTTATTAATATGCATACATAAACTTGAAATTATGATCAAGATTTTTGGATATCGTAATAAAACATATACAATATTATTAATTTATAGATATTTATATAAAATTTTATATATGATAACAATTATAGCTACTAATAAAGTTGAAAATAATATGTTTAGAACGTATTTAACAATTTTACATGCATAGAAAAATTGCATTATAAGTTTTTTATATAATAAAAAGTAAGGGATAAACTTAAATTGATAGTTTAATAATTTTGTTAGGCATATACAATATATAGTTTTATATAATTATTACTTTAACTTATAATCGGGACCATATTCTTACATAAAAGTTTCAAAAATATTATTATCTTATTATCTTATCGCATTTTGCTTATTTTTACATTGGTCCGAGTTGAAACCGTATAAATTT